AGAGAGAGAGAGAGAGAGAGAGAGAGAGACTGATATCCATTTTATTGGTAAACAAACAACATGAAATCAACTAAACAAAAATAGCCTCTGCAGTCTTTGGCAACTGCTAAAACTCAACCTTGTTTGCATAGGAAGCCCAAATGGAGCACCATCAATGTACAAAATGCACTCAACATACAGCTCAGCACTTCTCTTCTCACTTGAAGAATCACCATCTACAAAATAGAATTAGTGTATAAGTCAGAGTCAAATAGGAAAACAGAGAGAAGAAAGGGACAGATGGGAAAAGAAGTTTCCCTAGCAAAATGTCGAGAACTGACAATGTACAAGAAACTTATCAAACTTGAAGAAAATAAACATACTAAAATGTCAGATATCCTAAACCATCATAAAAAAGATACAAAAATAAACAAAGAAGTATTTTATCCATGAAAATAAATACAATGTATCATGACCCGAAAATTGAAACACATTAAATAACAAATAGACAAAAACTATTTTGATCCATGAACGTAAAATGTGGGACATCTATTTTCGCAGAATATAAAGAATGAAAAGTTTTTGTAGAAACCATTCATGTAGAATTATCACATGCATTTTTAATATCCATTGATTATATTTATGGGCAAATGCAAAGTAATGGAGATGACTACATCATGCAATGAACCCTTGCATCCCCCAAAGCAATTGATTGTGTTATGAAGAAAATAAGGACTTTCATGTGGGTGTAAGGACTATAGTTGTTAGAAATGCCTGTGATTCCGATTTGGTATAGGAATAGGAATTACAGAATCGCATGTGCTAGATGATTTCTAATCTCTGACCATCTATATAATAAAAATCATCGGAGGTATGATTCTGACGCAGTATAAAATTTACCAGCAAAAATAACCGCGTTTAGAGAGAGAATAAAAAATCGTGAAGGAAATCACAAGAAGAAAGAACAAAACGCATGAATACGAGTATTCCGGCACAGGCCCATAAGCATAATGACCGCACAGCGCCTAGGCGGTCCGAAAGGCCTGGGCGCATCGCCAAGGCCTACGCGGCCAATCTGGGCGGTGGACCTTGGGCAAGCGCCTCGCCTAGGCGAGCGCCCAGGGGCGGAAATAAGTTTTGGTGGGGGCAATTTTAGTCATTTTGTTTTGTATTAAAGAGCCAACAATTAGGGTTTTAGGTTCATTTGAAACCTAAAACTTATTGGAGCCAATTTTAGAGAGAGAAAGCCCCCCAAAAACTAGTTTTTGGTGAATTTTTTGGGATCGAAGGGTTCCTCAAAGTTAACAAAAATTGATCAAAACATCACTCATTGATCTTAGATTTACTTTTGATGTTTTGTAAAGTTATTAGGGGGTTTTTTAAGAGATTTTGAGCATTTAGAAGCATATTTGAGGTGGAAGTTTGAAGATTGAGCAATTAAACTCAAAGTAAGTGATTTTTTTTTATTGCTTTAGTAAATTGCATTATTTTTTAGATGTTTTCTTCGGGATCTAATAGAAGAGGTGATCTCGATTGGAAATATGGCTATAACCCAGATCCTAATGATAAAAATTGCATAAGATGCAAGATTTGTGATAAGGATACAAGATGGGGCATAAACCGGTTCAAGAAACATCTTGCCGGTATCAGGGGGAATGTTGCCCCATGTAAAAAGACTCTTATGTTGTTAAAGAGGAAATAAACAATTTTTTTAACATGGTAAAATGAAAAAAGATCAGAGATTTGCCTCTATAGCAGAGATTAGGTCTGGGGTTCGGGCCAATTATGATGAAGATGATAGTGATGAGGAAAGGATTTGGGAGGGATGTCAAGAAGCTGAACAATCCATTATTAAGGGAAAGGGAAAAGGAGTTGTAATTGCTTCTGGTTCTGGGACTAAGAAGCCTCAGGTTAGAGGCCCTATAGATAGTTTCTTACCTCGACCTGACCCTCAGGTTGCAGGAGAGAAAACAAAAAAGCAAACTGCCATTGAAAATAGAATCAAGAGGAAGAGAGAGATAGAGCTGCATATTATCTTGCTACATGGTTTTATGAGGCGGGCATTCCTATCAATACCGCTCACTTAAGCAGCTTCTATGCTGCGATAGAGGCAATTGGCCAATTTGGCCTTAGGATGAAACCCCCAACCCCATATGACCTTTCAAAGCCTTTTTTAAAAAGGTAGTGAGTGCCACGAAGGAAGTTGTAGAACTTAAGAGGAATGCATGGGCTCAGTATGGGGTTTCTATTATGACTGATGTTTGGAGTGATAGGAAGAGAAGAAGTCAGATGAATTTGCTTGTGAATTGTCTTGTAGGCATTGTTCAAAAAAACGGACCGCCCAGTGCCTAGGCAGCCGCCTAGGCAGTTCAAAAGGCCTGGGCACGTCACCTAGGCCTAGGCAGCCAAACTTGGCGGTGGTCCCTAAGCAGCCGCCTAGGGCCTGCGCCCCCCCAAGAGGCGGAAAAGTATTTTTTCGTTTTTTTCAAGATATAAAAGTTTAGAATGATGGGTTTTAGATTATTTGAAACCTAAACCCACAAGAACTCCTTTTAGAGAGAAAGAAACCTCTAAAAAACTACATTTCATTGGATTGAATCATCGAAGTATTTCTCAAAGTTTGGAGCTCGAGCAACCAAACTTAGTGCATTTTTTAAATTGCATGTTTTATTTTGAAATGTTTTCTTCAGGAGTTAGTCAACGTGGAGATCCGGGTTCGAAATATGGATACAACCGGAATCCAAACGACAAAAATTGTGTTAGATGCAATTTGTGTGAAAAAGATACAAAAGGAGGCATAAACAGGTTTAAGAAACATCTTGTCGGTATTAAAGGGGCTTTTGCCCCTTGTAAAAATATTCCTGAAGCTATCAGAGAGGAGATTAAGCAATGTATAAGTTATGTAAAACAAAAAAAAGAAAAAAATCCTTGTCATAGATCTATTTCTATTTCTGCTACCTTTAGAAGAAGTGATCTAGGTTGGAAGTATGGGTACAACCCAAAACCAAATGATAAAAATTGTATATGGTGTAATTTTTGTGAAAAAGATACCAATGGGGGTATTAGCCAATTCAAAAAATACCTTGCTGGTGCTAGAGGTAATGTTGTTTCTTGTACAAAGGTTCCTGAAGCAGTTCAGGATGAGATTAAACATTTTCTGAATTTTGAAGAACCAGAAACGGATGAAAATAAGCTTTGTTAGCCTTGTTCTATGGAAGTATCTTCTCCAAGTTCTAGTCGGAGTGGTGATCCGAGTTGAAGTAAGGTTATAACCCGAATCCAATTGATAAAAATCGTATTAAATGTAATTATTGTGGAAAGGATACTAATGGGGGCATTTACCGATTTAAAAAACACCTTGCCGATATTAAAGGGGATGTTGCCCATTGTAAAAATGTTCCTGAGGCTACCAAGGAGGAAATTATACAATATTTGAGTTCAGAAAAACACAAAGAAAAGGGTAAAGCGGCCAAGACTCCTAAGACCTCATCTGCACAGACTGCACATACTAGTAAGAGGAAGGCAGAAGAGGAGGAGGAAGAAGAGGCAGATTCAGAAGAAATAGAGGAGGACAAACATTCTATTGAAGAGGGAGATGACTCTGATAATGATGGTCTCGCCTCTGATGTATAGTGAGGTTTGCCTTATCGATATTCCCTCTTATGATGATGATGATGACGATGACTGAAAACTCTTGCCTCTTGGTGCTAAGTGTTGAGTGTTGAGTCTGTTGACTGTTGTGTTGAGTCATAAATGTTGACTTTTGTTAGACTGTATATTTTTCAAATTTCTGTATATTTATGTTGTGTTCAATGTTGACTTACATATCCTACACTTGTATGGTCTTACAATTTACTGTTTTAACAATATGGATTATCAAAATTCTCTTCTCAATGTCAATCTCTTTTTTTTTCAACTTGGAATATGGTATATTGGTAATTTGGTATGTTTTTTACTTTTTTTCAATTGGGCAGCCGCCCAAGTTTTGGGCGCCCGCCTAGGCTGCCGCCTAAGCGCTGGGCAGCCTGGACCCTCCAAGCCGCCTAGGACCCGCTTAGTGCTTTTTGATACACTGCCTGTAGGGACTTTTTTTTAGGTCTATTGATGCCTCTGATCATAACCATGATGTCTATTATATATTTCAAGTGATAGAGAAGGGAATCACGGAGGTTGGAGAGCATCTTGTTGTACTGGTTGTCACAGACAATGCTGCTCCTAATCTTACTGCATCTAATTTGTTGCGCATAGCTTATCCTAGAATCTTTTGGACTCAGCACATTGTATAGACCTCATGCTTGAGGCTCTTGCCAATTTAACCGAGATATCAGGTGCACTGAAGAAGGCCAAGTTAGTTACAAATTTCATGTATAGCCACCATCTCATCCTCAGCATGATGCGTACCTTTACAAAGAAGAAAGAGATTGTGAGGCTTGGGGTCACAAGATTGCAACCTGGTACTTATGCCTAGATAGCATACATTCGAGGAGAGTGCAATTGAGACAATATTTACCTCAGATGACTGAAGAGCATGCAAGTGGTCTAAAGATCAGATTAGGAAGAAGGTGAGAGATATTATCATTTTTAAGGCTTTTTGGCGAGGGGTGAAGGGCGCTCTTAAGGTATTTTCTCCTCTTGTCAAAGTCCTTCGCATGATTGATAGTGACAAGCCTTCGATGGGCTACATATATGATGCTATGGAGAAATGCAAAAGAGAGATAGCCCAAATTTTAAATGATGGCGAAACCCACTACAAGCCTGTTTGGGAGATTATTAAGGACAAGTGCTCATTAAAGTCTTTTGGGAGTCCAATGGCGATGAGGCAAAGGACCAAAATTAATTCAGGTATTATAATATTATTAAGTTCCTCAAGTTCAAGTAATCAAATAATTCTATTATTTATTTATGATTTTTTTCTATATCTTTGCAGCCCATTAGTGGTGCCAACATGGGTATTGTTCTCCAAATTTACAAAAGTTGTCCATTCGGATCTTAAACCTAACCACTTCTTCATCCGATTGTGAGTGCAATTAGAGTACTTTTGAAGGGGTAAGGCCGTAACTAAGCGTAATTTGTATAATTTTATAAATAATACATGAACCATAGATATTAAATTTTAATTAGTTTTATTTGATTTTATAAGATTCATACAAAGAAAAGGAATAGGCTTGAATCAAAGAGGCTCAATGACCTAGTCTATGTCACGTACAATCGATTCTTGAAGGACAGGTTTGCCAAC